GTTTAGTTGTGGTGCAAACGATTGTAAGTTTGATGCTTGCGCGTTATATAGTGAAGGCTTCATAGATAGTCTTTAGACAATTTTTTAACTTCTGTAATGGATTTTATCGTTTATGTTTTTGTAGACTGCAACTGCTATAGATCCTTTAGAAATTTCCAAAAAAGGAGTAAATATTAACTTGCTATTTTGTGAATATTGTGAATATTGCATTTTGTTCACTATGATGATGGATATTGATGCTCATTTTGGTGAATGGTCTTCATTTCGATGCAAATAGAAGAGACATTTCGCGATAAGCTCATTACCTTGTTTGGAAGGATCATTTATTGAAGTGTCGTTCACGATACATAAAATATTCAGCCAGAGCTACTCGTGTAGCCGTCATGTTTCAGCTACCACAATAGTGTATTCCATCAGAAATAGACACAACCAAACATGTAGAGCACATTCATCAACAAGTTCAAAGCAAATTTAAACATTCAAACCAGTTATCAACATCACCCTCATTGCTACCATGAAAGGAATATCGAAACGAGAAATCTATCAATGGTGGCAACTACAGTTAACATTGGTAAGTATAGAGATACATAGTAGTCAAGAGTTGTATCCTCCAACAGATATATAGCTTTTGAGAAATCAAGAGGATGACAACAACGCAATGACCTAAAACCATCAGATTTATGTGATCACAGAGATTTGTTAGCAGGCATTACATCATTCCTCTCTTGAAGCAGGATCTAACCCGGCAGACGGGCTATCAGCAAAGTAGTCTTGATGTTTGACGTTAACACCATACTGCAATGCAAATCAAAGGTTACGGAGAACACTCATATGCAAAAAGTATCGCTGAAGTGATAAAAATATTGGCAACGCAAGAACAGCCTTTTGGAGAAGAAGAAACAAGAGAGGTTCTACAAGGATGGACCACTCGATTGGTCAAAAGCATTATACAGCAGACTATTTATAGAATAAATAAGATGAAATTATAATGATGAATAACTTTTTATTATTTTTTGATAGGCCAGCAAAGAATGATTACCTCTCGTAGAGATTTTGAAAGATCATCCATTGTCAAGGTAAGGCGTTTGTCCTGCTAAAACAGAGTTAGAACCAATAAACATAAGAAAATGAAAAGAGAAAAAAGTGAAGCACCTTTTGCTGCTTATCTCTCTTGTCCTTGACAATAGTTGACTGCCTTGCCTTGCAATGTCTGCATTACCATGAAAAATAAGAAAGTTAATCTAATATAAGCTCGGTTTCCAAGACATTAACAAGAATTTCAAAATTCAACTATATTTTGTCTCAACACAAAAAATGAGGGTGTCTTTATCCTGGTCTACCCACAAGTCATCAACTTTCCTTCCTTCAACCACTGCCATCTTGTTGTCTCAACCATATTTCTAGTCTCTACACAGAATACCAATGGAGATACCCCTTGCTCCTGATATATCCTAACTTTCATCGACCTGCCTGCTTTCAACCACTGGCATTATGTTGTTTCTCTATTGGAATGGCCCGTTTCATAAATATCCATTTCTTTCTAAACATGAAGGATACATAAGAGACCATTCATAAACTCTTATTCTTTCTTCCGATGATAAAGCCATAATCTATCCTCAAAAGACTCACAGCATTTCATGAGTTTTACTTTCATTACGACTAGTGAAGGCAAAATAGTGAGTAAAGTGAGGCATTCACAAAATCTTGAGTCGATAACGAAACAAAACACAACTGATTTGTCACAGTTGAGAAGATCTACCACAATCCAGTAGAAGCATTAGGAAAATAACAATCCATTGGAAACATTAAGAAAGGAAGTTCAGAGAAAGTTGGATGCTTTGTTATTTGTAATCATATATTCTGAAACAAGGTCTTTCTACATGTCTACTCAAGTCATATCTTAGTTTCTTTATATTGTATTTTTCTGTTTCTTTGTCTCTTTTCTAAGGTTTTGGAGTGTCACAGACACAATAATCTCCTGAGGTAGTAGTATTATTGCGCTAACAATAGAGAATTTCAGGTGTTGTATTTTTGGTAGTGTAGTCAAGTTAGGGTCGGCAGTCTTTAAAAATATAACAGGCTTGGATTCTAAAATTACCAACTTAATGTTTCTAATTCATTAGAGACGAACCAAAAAGAGTTTTTTTAAGGTTTGGGGGAGGAGAACAACTTGAACACTTAAAAGTTGGAAGGATCATACAATGACAAACACCTAGACAGGCAACAATTGCATTGAAGCCTCAAGAGTAGGGGACAATCGATGAGCAATATGCCGAAGAATTAGCAGCATACTTAACATAAGATGGAGGAGGAAACAGAATTCAAGAAAAATAAAATAATTAAGAAACATACTGGAGAGCATCAGTAGCCACATCTGCAATAAACTTCTGAGTAGCAACTGCCACCAACCTTATTCTGCATATCCAAAGGAAAAACTCAATACAACAACACAGTATTAAAAACTGATAACATAAGATAAACCAGCCATCACTGTCAAACAAAACATCAAATGCTACAATATTAAAATTTACAACTTGTAAAAAGGTAAATACCAATCCAATTCACAGATATATAAATTTTACTTGAATTTACTGCTAAACCAGATAAATAGAAAACGATCAAAACAAAAACGGAACTAGAGAATACTGCCGCTTAGTCACTGTTTGATTGCTACGAGTATAAAGATATTCAGCTAATTGCTCATCTAATTTTCATAAAAATGGGTATTGCCTTGCGGCTCCACCAACAACCCACCAAGATGTTATATTATTGTTTACTGATGCAGGTTTACAGGTGGATACTGGACTGGCAAATATTGGTGTTGCAGCTCTGGAAAGCCTTGGAAAACTGATTCATGCCCATGTTTCCCCAATCCAGTTTGCGGGAAAAGCTATGACTGTTGAAGCACTTGCTTTAAGAGTGGCTCTTGAACGTACAATCAGGAACAATTGGAAGGATGTGAGAATCCTATTGGAAGCAAAGAGTGTTATTGATTATGATTCAGGAAAAAGTTAACTACCTCATGGGAGATAGAGGTGACTTGTGAAGACATTTGGAAGCTAAGAGCTTGCTTGATCATGTAGACTTTGTTCATATTCCGAGAAGTCTAAACAAAACTAGCACATAATTCAGCTAAGTTTTCTATTACTTCGTTGAAGGAAATATCTTGGGAGGACATCCTCCCAAGCTGGATTTTACATCATTATATGGGCACCTTTGCCCAATTTATTTGTTTGCTGCAGTAACATAATATCTCCCTTTGAACCCCCAGGGCTTAGCTCACTTGGCAAAAGTGTAGAGCTTTCGCTACGCCAAGCAAAATAAACGTAGGTTGAGGAGCGCGTTCATCGTATTCGAGTTTAAAGACTACGGTTAGCTCAAGACAGAGGATAAACCTAGTGAAAATAGTTCTAGATAAACACACGAAAATCATATCTTCCTTATGAGCAATCCAAACAATTTTTCTATAACTAATCTAAGCAGGCTAAATTGCAGAAACATCAACATAAGAATGGGAAGAAAATACATACAATCGAACATCAGGACATTGAAATCCACTTTTACCCAAGTAATGCTCCACCAATTCATCAGGAATCTGATCAAAAGCGTTAACCTACATAAATAAAACATAAAATTGATCTCTTCAGTAAGAAAAAGGGCAAAAAGTAGCTCACAGTGGGAGTATAGTCCATCAAGGAAGCAAGGAAATCGGCTAGAACAGCATCATCCTCGTGTCTTCCTTCACTTGTTTGTTGACCTTGACTTTGGTTCATCTTCACCGTCGAAACAGAGTCAACGGAGGATCGGCGGTGGTCGGAGTTTCAATTTCGCCGGAGGAAAATTGGGGAAGATTTGTGCCTTTTTACTTTGAGAAAAAAATCGGAAGAAGAAACTGAAGAAAAATATTCTAGTAATAGGTAAGTAAAATTACTATGGTTACGATAATTTAAAATATTTAAAAATATATATAAAAATTATTTTTAAACTCACATATTGAAAAAGTAATATTATTTTCCTTCTAGGATATAGAAATATTATAATTTTGATTATTTTTTAAAATTCAAAATTGTTTCTCCACAATTGTGCAAAAAAGAAAAAAAATGAGAAAAGGCCTAAGATAGAGGAGAATTGTATTTTTGTTATGTGAAATTCGTTCGCGAAGAGGGGCATATATATTTACCTAGCTAACGATAATATTTCGTAAAAAAAAAAATTATATTTTATTTTATTTTTTAAATTTGATAGTTCATAACATTTAAAAAAATTATAAAATAAAAATATAATTAAATTATTTTATTCTCTATCAAACCAAACGCAATTAAAATTTACATTGAAGTATATATATATATATATATACACACACTCATAATCACTTATGTTAGCCATTTTATTCTTCTCTATCATAGAAGATTAAAATGAATTATATTATTATTGAGTAAACAATTTGGATATTATTTGATAACTAATTTAATTACAATACAATTGAGTAACTTAATTGGTACTTGAATGATTTGGTAAGCACGATTATAAATCATGTTTCACAAATATGACTAATATCACATTTGATTTGCATCATTTGAAAGTTATATTAGATAAATATAATTTATAAATTACATATTAATAGTAACTCAATTTATAGATTAACTATATATCATATTCGATAGATACGACCTATAAATTGCATGAATAAGCATGATTTTTAAATCATATTTAATTACTATAAATTATCAAATATAATTAGTAAATCACAATAGATATAAAATCGCAAACGTCACATATGCACATACATTCGAGATTCTTCAAATAATTCATTTTCTAAATCGATATATAATTGATTCTACTCTTTTCATTCATTATATTAAAAATATATCATCAATTTTACTTTTTTCATTGAAAAATTTAAAAACGATCTATTTATTTTTTAGCAAAATGACTCTTATGATTATCGTTAGCTAATAAAACACGTATCAAATCGAAGTAACAATTTCCGTGAAAACATATTACTCGAAAACGAAAATTTTTTCTAACTCTTTGTTATCTCAACCAAAATTGAGTACAATTTCCCGAATCTCAAAATTGAAAAATTAAACCAAAAATGGAAGAACTCAAAAAAAAAAATAGAGAAAATTGCTCTGTTTTTTTTTTTTCAAAGCTCAGTAGCTTCATCAATGGCCGATTTGAGATTCTTCATGAGCTTGATCCATAGCTTCATCTTTCGCCTTCTCATCATCAAATTCTTCAGTTTCCTTTTCCAATTTCTTCTCAATTTTATCACCAGCACCAAACGAATTACCTCTACTCGAAATAGGCGTAGCCAAAAAAGTTGGATTCAAATCTCCAGCCATTATCACAACTATTTTCTCCTCAAAAACCGGCGACGCCTTGAAAACATCACCGGTCGATTTCTCGCCGTCGCCGGATTCTACATCGCCGTTTTCTCTCGGATAGCCGGATCGTCTCCAGTAAGAACAAGCTAGGATTACTAAAGCAAAAGTTATTAACACTAGCATGGACGCTACGCCGGCGAATAGATACGGCGCCGGCGAATGCCATGGCGATTTTTGAACAATCGCCGATGGAGAGACTGATGGAGAAGCAGTAGTAAAGGTACTTACTGTTCGCATTTTTATTTTATTTTCGAAGATGAAATGTCTAATATTTTATTTTTTCGATAGAAAAATTTATTAAATTTTTTGCGAGCGAAACGAATATTAAACTTTTAGAACAAAGAAAATAAGAAAAATAAAACTTAGCTTGGCTTGAGAAATGCAAAGATGGTATATGTGTGTATTTATATGAAACAAATTTAGTGGATGAATAGTGAAAAGAGAAAAAGTAAGTTAAAAAGAAGGGTGAAGTGATCAATAGGGAATCATAAAATTTAATGAGAAGAAAAAAATTTACCAAAATTATTATAAATTTCAAATTTTCTTTTTTGCATATCATTGTGATGTAAAAATATATCGTAAAATATTAGTTAAAGTTATTATCGTTTGACTTTGAAAAAGGAAATTAAGACAATTAAAAGATGGACGGAGATAGTATGATATATTGTTATCTTTGAAATTTCTTGTTTTTAAAAAATTATAAAAATTCATATTCGGATATCCTCTCGTTAAGTAAAGTATCATTTGCAATGTATCGGACAAACACAGAATGTATCTAAGAATAATGAAAAATTTAGAATTTCTGTAATTAGGAAAAGTTTCGAAGTAAAATGTAATTAGCCTCTAAATGTAGGAAATTTTTGTACTTTTTATACTAATAATATTCATTTCATATGTTGATGTTTGGTGATTCGATTAATCTGGATTCGTTTCACATGGTGTATGAAAAAGTAAGATAGAAATGCCATGACATCCTTAGCCTTTTTGAGGTGCTTTCAATCTCACGAAATATATATTAAAGTATATTAGTAACTCGTTCGACTCGATTAATAAAAAATAAAAAGATCGCATTCATCTCATTAACAACGTTGTTTTAATGGTAAAATAAACAAATCTTTCGTTTGAATTATTGCTATAGATACTAAGTGGGAAAAACACTCAAGCTTATGAGTAAAGCAGCAATAATCATTGAGCAAAGAAGAGAATTAAAAATGTCATTAGTGGAGTAAAGTGATCGTATCATTATAATTCTTTATGAACTAAAGTATCATTATCTCATACTTATCAACTAAGCTTAGAGATGATATTAATAATTAAACGTTGATAATTAGTGTTGAAAAATTATTAAGTTATTTTTTCTGTTAAATTTTATGTCAAATCATATTATACCACGTAAAATAAAAATACAAAAAGCAAGTAATTTTGCTACGCCAAATGGTTATTGATAAAAATTTATTTGCACATGATGTTTATATCAAGACCAAATGCATAAATAGATTCCTAAAATTGTTCGGGTTTTTCCCTCGGATAACTCAACTATGTTATTTTTCTATTAAATTATTGAACCATCCATAATTTGTTCCATTTAAACAAACACTATTGACTTAATGTGGAATCAAATTTGTGAGAGATATTGATAGATGATAATTGATACATATGTTGTGCCAGATTTCACCAGTCCAATTGATAGTGAAAATGTTCGAAGATAATTGTCTTTTACTTGAAGTCATTTGAACACATTAGAAAACAAATGAGACTAACACTATTTGTGTTCATTCCTTCAATCAAAATTATTACAATTCGAACATAATTGAAAACATTTATGATAGAAAAAGCCGATCAAAATCAACCAACAGTGTTTAGAAAAAATAAATTATGGATAGTTCAATTATTTAATAGAAAAATGACATAGTTAAGATACATGAGAGGAAAACTCAATAAGTTTATGAATTCGGCCAAATATAAAATTATATGATTTTATGGTAATAATTATTTGGTGTTATAACGCCAAAAGCGGCAGCTGTACAGTGTAAGGATAGTTGCAAATATTTTATTTGAACTTCTTATAATTTTATATTATATATAATTGTAAATAGATTTTATTTTTTTTTTTGGAAAAAAAAAAAGAAAGTTGAGCTACATTTATTTTCATAGTGAACAAATTATACCTTTTTAAAAAATGAAAATCGTCACTAACTTTAATTTTATTTTATTTTAGTGGGGGATGATATGTTTTTTTAATATAATGTATATTGGTTAGAGAATATTTGATAATCTATATGGAGCCCTTCATGGTTCGCCACATCTAATTAAGAAAGTTCTAAAATAAAATAGCACTTACTTTTGTTGCTATGAAAATTGTTTTATATTATTGACGGAGTGAGATAGAGATAAGACGGATAAACTTTTTATATTTTTTAGAGACAAAAGATAAATGTACTCTAAATCATTGTAAATGGTATTCTTTTGTCGTTCAAAAATTAGAGTATACAACTCCTTCATTTTAATGGAAGACTAAATAAGAAAACGTGGCTCAATCTTATTCGTCGATCCGATATTTAATAAATGTTGGATCTATAGATAAAATTGTGATACGTGTATGTTCGTTAGTATAAAGTGTATATATACTCTGTTTTTTTTTTTACGGAATGAACACTAATATCCCTAACGTATAACGAAGGATATTTGCATACCATCTACGATTGTTCAGGAGTATATTTGTCTTTTTTTTCTATTTTTCATTAGAAATCTTATGTTGAAAATTTAAAAAATAAAACGTATTTAGGATAGAGAATATTTCTTTTTTAATAGGCACAATCAATATGAGTATAAATTAATTGAAATTATAAATATCAAACACCAAATAATTATTAAAAAAGAAAAATACTTTTTGCTTTGCGTCGTCCTTTCCAATTATCGATTCTAATATCAAAATGGATTAAATAAGTTCTCACATAATAATATTTTGTTTTGTAAGTGGAAGAATTCGAATAGATAATATTTTTTAAATTTTAAGCCACTTTCTTTGAGTTGGATGACGACGTGAAATACCAAAAGGCTTAAACTATTTGTTTCGATTATTTAAAATTACGATGAAACGAATATAATTTTTTTATTTTTAATTAAAAATTTGTACTTTAAACTTAAAGAACTGACATTTTTTAATTAGCATTGATTGGGAGTCTAAAATAAATATAAAATGTCGGAAGAAACAAAATAAAATTATCGATTTCAGAACAGAGATGACAAATGGTAGGACTACATTATGAATAATTTTTTTATATTCGATTTGATGTTTAAATCTGCAATGCAACTGGATTAAAAAAATGAAAAAATTCTCACAATGCTTATATGATATATACCGTCAATATAAATAATTTTTACTACAATCAAACCATCTTTACTCATAAGCACATATCTTACTTTTACTAATATTTTAAATTTCATATATTTAAAGAGATTTAGAGGGTGTTCGAATTGACTTAAAAGTTGATTGAATTTATTTTTGATTTCGTATTTGACAAATATGAAAAATAACTTTAAAATAAGTTTTAAAAATAACTTAAAATAAGTTCGAAAGTATTTGAAAAGGTCAAAATGGACATACAACAAGTTAAAAATTTTGACTTAAAAGAATCATTTAGTCGAACTTATTTTTTACTTAAAAACTATTTTTTCGTAAGTCAATCCACAACGACTTATAAGAACTTACTAAAATGAAGAGAAAAAACATAACAATGTATTGTATATCTCAAACAAAAATTACACTCTCCAAAATGTCAAAATTGAAAATCCAAACTAAAATCGGATTTTTAAATATGAAAAAAAAAATTGTCAAAGGATTTGATATGATGGATAGATCGTTTCTTCGTAAACTAGGGAGCAGTCTCCGAATCAATTAATCGAGCTCCGATACGAATATTCACGCCTTTTTGAGCTCAGTGACTTTGTTCATGATTTTGGTCCCTAAAAACTTCATCTTTCAACTTCTCATCAGCTAATTCTTCATCCTCCATCTCCAATTTCTTCTCAATTTTACTTCCATTTTCATCTCCAAACGAAGAGCTTTTGCTCGAAATTGGCGTAGCTAAAAAAGTTGGATTCAAATCTCCAGCCATTATCACTACAATTTTCTCTTCATAAATCGGCACAAATTTAACTAAATCTCCGGAAGATTTCTCACCGGCGCCGGATTCCAGATCATCGGTACTATCGCTAGTCTCGCCGGAGCGTTTTAAATAAGAACAAGCTAAAATTACAAGTGCAAATGCTATTAACCCTAGCATCGCTGCAACACCGATGAATAGGTACGCCGCCGGTGAATGCCACGGCGATCTCTGGAAACTCTCCACCGGCGAAAAAGTAGTTTTCACCGTTGATTCAACTGGTTCAATTGTTGATGGAGTAGCAATGAAGGTACTCACAGTTCTCATTTTTATTTTTTTTGGCTTAAATATTTTTTTTCTTTTTTCTTAGTTTGAGAAATGAATAAATGGTGTATATGTGTATTTATAATTAGTTTGTAATGTAAAAAGGGAATAAATTTTTAAGAGGGAATAAACAATATTTTATAAGTATTCTCTTGTTCTTTTTAATTTCTCATCCATGTTCGGAGTCTGAATTAAAACTTCGACTAAATTCGAATCATGTATTTCGAAGTTCATTCAAAAATGATACTCTCATATTCAATACTTGAACCTGAAACCTCTAATTAAGGTAACATAACATTTTTTTTTAATTTTCTATTTAAAAAAAAGTTAGCCTTTTTTTTTATGAAATATCTTTTTTATGGCATGAGATCATCTTTAGTTTAATTTGACTTTTTACATAACTAATATATCATTTTATCATCACTATTAAGCTCAATCATTTTAAGTAATTACTCGTAGTTATCTGTTACGTGATATAACAATGCAACTTATTATTATTCCCGCTCTTATTCTTATCAAATAGATCATTTGATAGAGGAATTTGATTGATATAGTGAACTTCAAATTATGAATCCGTCTTTTTTTCGTTCATAAATGTCAATATATTATAGATTTGAACTTTGATCCTATCTTATTTCCATATGTTCAATCAACTTTATAATAAACAAGGAATATGTCTCTATCATGATAATGATAAAAAAATGGATATTTTTTTATATTGGGCCCAATTAGTGGGCCTTGTTTTGGGCTGAGGTGCAATAGTTAAGTCCACACATCTAAACTACAGGAGAAAACCACTTAGATTTTTCTCTTTTTCAATCATTAAGCAAACAAGTGAATAAATAATAAGATTGGTGGGTAAAGCAACAACAAAAAATATATTGTATTTTTTTTATATATATATTTGATTCCATTCTCTTTCATACATATCCATAATATTAGATTTATCTTTTTCTTTTTAATTCTTTTCATTTTTTATTTAGTCTTATCATTCTAAAACGTCTGAGTCGAGCATGTCACATAGGGCTTGTGTAGTGCAATTTATATTTCATGTGTGATTTACAACCTATTACACAGTAAAGGTTTTACCTAATATGCACAAAATGCTCACTCGAAGAGTATAAATTGTGACAGAAACTGTCACAAACTGCGAATTGTACTGAAGTTTCGAAAAGAATAAGTTATTGAAAGTACACATACAATGAATCTAGCTACAAACATTTGAGATAGAGGAGAAAATGTGAGAATCTTCATGAACAATGTGACATCATTTTACTTTTATTTTCATAAAATATAATAGGCCACTTCTATCTTAAGAAAATATAAATAATTAATAATGTAAAATTCTTATCATAATTATATACAAAAATAAATATTCTTTGGTGTAAGAATATATTTTTGTTGTATATAGATGGCATATCACTTTTTTGTAACGTCCTTTATTATGTGTTTCCGCATGCCAAAAGGACAAAAGAGGCCTATCCCATCATTAAAATTGTTGCAAGTGGAAAAAATGGTTCAATCACTAACACAAAATAAAACAAAAAAAAAGGAACAAGATATAGTGTATTATAGTAGATAATGTTTTTTTTTTTATATAAAAAATATTTTCAAAGTTTATAGAGTACAAGAGTTGTATGCACTTTTACACCCTTATTGAGTAACTTTGTTTTTCTAAAGTTATCGTTAAATATAATTTGTTACTGTTTCATCTAAAAACTTGTTTGTTATTACTTGTGATGATTAGGCGCTTTTTATGAATAGAGGTTAGCATGCTTTCTCTAGCTAGTAAAAAAGTTCTAGTGTATTTTGTTCTCGAATAATTGATGTCTCATCAGTTGAGCTCTGAGAGAGTGTGGTAGTTGAAGAATTATGGGAGCCAATCTAAAATTTAATCGTTGATCAATCGTAATGAACGTTAAGTTAATTTCTTTATTCCTAACTTAAAGTTGTGACTTTGTATATGTATAATTGAATCTCAACTATGACAACTGAATAATCGAGTTAAAGTAATTGTAGTTGTGTAGTTGAAAAGATTGAGAAGCAACAAAAATAAGGTTTAGGATTTCCTAGTGACATGACGCAGCCTTTACAGGACAATCATGGAGATTTGGCCTAAATTGAATAATATCATATTAGGTTAAGAGTATATTTGGATTGACGAACACAATAAGAAGCTAGTTACGGGTTTCAATTGCCATAATATACTTAGATGACATGGCTGACACATAGTGAATCGTGAAGATAGGCTACATGAAATTTAGTTTGAGGAACAGATTATTGAGTATGTACGAATAAAGTCTCACATTGATATCTGAAAAAATTGAAAAACTACATATAAATATGGGATCTTAATGATATAAGTCCTTTTGAGGAAAATCGTGTAAGCTCGATCTAAATCGAAAATTATAACATCTTTTGACCGTACATTTAAGTGAAAGGACATACACTATTTTAGATTTGAAAAAACACTACCATATCCTAAAATCTAATTTTACTTTTGTTGAACCTCATTTCATCATCTACCACCAACTAGTGTTTCCTCACTTTCTAAAAGTTTTAATTTATTATAATATTTAAAAGGAAAAAAATTCTTTTTGAACACTAAATAAAGTTATGAAAACAGCTAGTAAATATTATTAGCAGTATTGTTGTGGGGTAGGAGATCAACCTAATCTTTTAGCAGCCTTTATTCATTGTGTCAATAGACTTCCCCTTACATTTCCTCCTTTTTTTTTCGGTTCGTATCGTGGATTGTAGTGAGATGGATAGAATCTCTTAGCATTTAATTAAAATTTTCGAATTCAAGTCCTGAATATGAAAAAAAAATCTAGATAGGACGTGTTTTCCCATAGATGGATCTTATGCGGTATTATTCAAATTAATTCAATGCAGATATCGAACTCCTGATTACAAAAACAAACTACCACAATATCTCAAATTATTACCAAAAGGTGGCTATTTTTGCATATTTCTCCCATAGCAACATTGGGCCTATTAATGGGCCATTATGAACTATGAAGCCTTCCAATGTAAGTAGGCCCAAATGGAGATTTTATCGAAGGATAAAGTTAGACCTTTTCGTAAAGTATAAATATATTTGAATCGTTTTCATTTTTTTATGAATTATATGTTGATAAAATAAAGATTTCATTGGGTGTGTTATTCAAATTTTTTTCTAAATTTTAACAAATATTAGACATGCAGACGTGTTAGTCATAATAAATCAAGATTTTAAGATAATTTTACCAACGAAATTTATCAAAAATTAAGATTTTAAGTTCCATTCTAAAACCTTCTATTAATACAAAAAAAAACATGCGATAAAACATTAAAAATTAGATTAATAATCAAAACTGTAGCATAAAAACACACACACAAAAAAAAGTTAAATAATTGAATAAATCAATTTTTACTAGAAATTAGATATTGATATGTTCATACAATGCATAAATATGTAATGTATTTATAGGTAACTAAAATTAAGAAAATTAAAACTTGTCCTAAACTACTTAGGAATTAATTATAGGGTTAATTAGTTGATTCCTACTTGCAATGGGATTAATAAGATTTCTTTTTTTTTCCCCAATAAATATCTAGCTTATAAATTAAAAAGTAAATTGAAATTATAAATAATAAGTGTTTTATATAATTTCTATGAAACTTAATAAAGAAGAAAAACCGTTTTTATTAAGACACACACACATCATTTCAAACAATTACGTATCTTATGACTAATTAAGAGTTTTTAACCATATAATGAATAAGATATATCATGTCTTTTTGCTACTAGATACACTGAAATACGAAGAGATAGTGACGAGCAAGTTAGTTACGTAGCCCAAATACATGTGAATCACACTATATATATGTATCTGGAATATTTGACGCATAGGAAAGTGGAAGCGAGATAAGAGGGAGGTGGGGGAGATTTCTCATGTATCTGAATCAACTTAGGAGAGTAGAAAGCGAAATGGGAGGGAGGCGAGGGAGATTTGTCATATATTTCGGATACATGCGAATCCACTTGAATACAATGTATTCAGACAAATTATACCTAATTTGTATTTTGAGATACATGTATCTAGAAGTATCTTGACACATCAAAATTATATAAAATTTGTAATATTACAAACTTCATATTATTATCAAAATAATTAACTTTTAAACTAGTAAAATTTCCGTAAGTTTCTTTACATGTTATTGTCCTTGGCTAAGTTGGGCTTATATGTGATTCTGAATGACAAACATCATATCCTGTCCAGCCCAATTCTTTATAAAAGTTTCTGAATGAATTTTAAAAAAATTTCAAATCAAGCATTATTCAGAATTTAAAGTTTATTTATTTTGATTACTAGTAATTTGTGAATTCAGTTTTTGTATATGTATGATAAGTCTCTAATCAGCAAATAAACGATCCTAATAATATAATTAAAGGGATAAAATAGTTTATTTTCGATCTTAACAAAGTCAAAGTTAATACCCAAGTTTAATCAAGAATAATATAAATGATAAGAATAAACTATAAAGTCTAAAAAAAAAAGGGTTTGTTAACACCAAACACTAATATCAAGAATTAATTGTGATGTTTTTTTGTGGATACAATGAAAAGGCTATTATTCATTTCACTAATCTCTAATGACATAATTAAAATGCTTTATAAACATACTTACTATAATTGGTAGAAACAAAGTCAAAAAGATTTGTTAACACCAAACACTAATCAAGAACTAATTGTGATATCTTTTAGGAGATGGAATTAATTTATCTATAAACATACTATAAATGATAGGAGCAAAGTAAAAAAAAAAAATACTTGTTTCTGTTTTTAAAAAAGGAAAATGCACAGGTATCTCTTAATCTTTGTTCGAAATCTCAGAGATATATTTATACTATATTAAGGTTTTATTACTTTTTTGAATTTATTTTTGTAAATAATTTTATAATCTTTTTCGGCCTATGTGGCACTATCTCGGCTCGTGTTGACATTTTTTTTTCAAGCTAGTGTTACGTAGTTCGAAAAGAAATAGAAAATTATTTATAAAATAAGTGTGTCTCGAAAATTTCGGACACAGATTGATAGGTACTTATGCATTTCTCCTTTAAAAAATAATGTACTTTCTTTTTTAGTCTATTTTTTTGAAAAAGTGATTATTTTTCTTTTTTAGTATCATTTCAATTTCAATTTTTCATATAATATATTTAAGATCACGAGATCAAAAAATATTCTTTATTTTTTAAATACCAAATCGAGTCAAAATAAGCTAATTTTTTTAAAAAATTATAAAATAATTATTAAAACAGCTAGTATAGGTGCCCCACCGTCCCACGTGAAGCATTTGTTGGTATTGGTTGATAATAAAGTCCCAAATCAATGTTAGTGGCACAGGTAGAATTGTGGAATCGATAGATAAAATTATACGAATACTAATAATAATAATATTAGTTACGTAAATTTGTTATGTAACTTATGTTAGTTGTTTTATCTTTATTAATGTATGAAATAATATATAGATTAATTAAATAACCATAACTTTTATCTAGTTATGCAAAATTATAAATCAATAACAAACATTATCTTTAATGTGATGAATTTTATATACTATATATAACAAGGAAAATACTATATATATATGATATTAATTTATCGTTTTTTTTTTCTAACCAACAATCAAATGATCGTATTTTTATAAAATGTTTATCCGTGAAAATACTCCATAGTGTTTAATCAAATGTGAAAGTGTTTTCTTGAAAAATGATATTTATAAAATAATTACTCCATAATATCAGTAATTAATATGGATATAAATAATAGCAGTTTTTTCTTTATATTAATTTATATGCCATCTTTATTTTTAATTTGTTTCAAATTAGATGTTATCTTTTTACCGTTAGAAATAATTTAATTCTTAAAAATTCTTTTTTATTGTTAATAAAATGGCTGATAATCACCCAGAATATCTAAGATTTGTCCAAAATCATAAAAAAAATTCAAAATTAACTATTTTTTTAGCTTAAATTTTGTCTTAAATACACATAAATTAAAAAAACAAAATATTTTAAATAGGTATTCAAGACATAAAGCAAAGTACTTATTAAGTAGTTGGGTCAAACACTAATTAAATTATTTATTAGATGTCAATTACTAAAGTATTCCATTTAAAAAGTACTTCAAATAATATTTATTTTTGTTAGATAATGTCCTATTTATCCTTCTTTCTTGGAGAGTTTGAAGTTTATAATAAAATTTTTTTTGATACACAATAATTTTAATTATAAAAATATGATAATTTTTAATAATAAATTAAAAAAGAGTGTTTCACGTATAAATATGTTCTTTAAACTTGGACTCAACTCACAGTTATGTCCTTGTATAAAATTAAACAACAATGCATTTTACGTGATACCTACATGACGATTTGTGTCTTTTATGTATTATGTCACGTATAACTCACGTGTCAACGTTATTCAAACTTAAATGTCTACTTGTATGTGTCTAAAGTTAAAAGATATAAACTTGAAAATAAAATTAAGTTAAAAAACATATTTATCTATTATGCTTATGTATATTAAATGTTTTCCATGATGAAATTACTTTGGAGACCACGTATGTCGCCCTTACTTGGGTTCAAATCCCGACTCTCGAACCCCAACTCTCCATCTATCTTGTTTGCATGATATTGTGTTAGATATCATATAATTTAATTTCCGTCAACGTAACATTTCTAACTAACTTAGGTATATTACCTATGTAGAGTTAAAAATAAATATCGAACATTGGATAGAAGCGATGCACACTCCTAGTGACTCTTGAAAAGCTTCAAAAGCCAACCCCTACAAAGTGTACAAATTAGTCACGAACCAATTTTTAAAATGTGGGACCCATATACACGAGTAATGGGTCCCACGTCCCATTATGAAGTTTTAGTTTTTTCTCATATAAAGCCAAACATGTCCTTAATAATAATTCAATCCAAACACGGCATTTCTTACTTGTGGACCCCAACCTCTTTTATACCCAAAAAAGACAACTCATTTTTTTTTCTCATAAAAAGACAATTTATTATTTTACATCTTTAATTAATGCTTAAATTTGTTTGGCTATAAAACATCCCACGTATCGATTCCTTATTCGTTGACTTCTAATATCCCGTAAATTATTAATTTTATCTTCGAATTAGTTCTTGATTTAAAAACACCTCTATACTTAATAAACTAAGCTTAAATACACACATTAAGTGATTACACTCTCTTTTAAGTGTGAAAAATTACAAAAACGAAAAATCAAACTTTTTATTTATCTTATATGAGGATAAATACATTTGAATTTGGCGTATAATATTAGTTTCTTTCTCGACTATTGACAATCTTTTAGAACATTCATCTACTTGATTGACTAAACTTAAAAATAGACTGATGCTATGTCAAGGTGTAGATTGGGAGTAAATATAAGTTTAATTAGTCAGGTAGATGAATGTTTTATAATCGTTAATAATTAATAAATAAAATTAAGTAACATATGCCAAGTTTAGAGATATTTTCAAATATTTCTTTCTTTAAACAAATTAAAAGGAGAAAAATGATAAAAATGAAATAGTTCCTTAAATATCAACTCAATAATTTTGATTTCTAAAAGTATATACTAAAGATAACACTCTCAATCTATATCAAATAATTATAAAACATTATCTATAAGATTTGATGGTAATTATGAGAAAACAAAGAAAATAGCAAAAAAATCACATTTTATAGGTTGTGTAGTTTGCAAAAAGTTTAATATTTTCTAGTTTGGTGCAATTTATTTTTAGGTGAAACAAGAGTTCGTTTTATTCGAAATAAGTTATCTTGAAATTAATTATTTTAAAGTAAGTTATTTTTTTTAATTTTAATTTATATAGTACTTTTTATTTTTCGAGAGTTAAACAATTTAAGTTTGATCGAAAATTAATGAAATCTTTAATTTTTTGAAATAAAATTTATATATTTATAAACTACGTAAAATATACTACATGTCACAGTAATTGATAATTAAAATGTTTAAAAGATCTTAAAAAATTTTACGATCAAACATAAATTTGTTTGAATTTTGAAATTCAAAAAGTGTTATATAAAATATGATAAAAAGAGTACTTAACTAATGTATAATGTGATAACTTATGTCATCACTAAGATATAAATAATGAGATAAATAATCAGGTAATAAATACCTCAATCCAAACACATATTAAAATAATTTTTTTTATAAGTCAAATATTTAGTTTTGGTAACTTTTAAAATATCAAAATTGATTAATACATATTTAATTGATTATTTTGTCTTAAAATGGAAAGGACCATTTTTGTCATTTTTCTCAAACAAATAAAAAAATGAGTTGCTATTACTTATATATATATTAGTCAGTGTTGTAAAAAAAATAATTAATTTTGACAGAAAAAAATAAAAAGCAAATCAATTTTTGATTCTCTCACTTAACACAGAAAGAAAAAACTAATCGAAATAATGGGAACGGAGAATTGGAGTTTAACGGCGAAGTTATGTGACTCATGCAAAACGTCGCCGGCGACGGTGTTCTGCCGGGCAGATTCAGCATTTCTCTGCTTAGGATGTGACTGCAAAATCCACGCAGCGAACAAGTTAGCGTCACGTCACGCGCGTGTCTGGGTTTGTGAAGTGTGTGAGCAAGCTCCGGCGAGTGTCACGTGTAAAGCGGATGCCGCTGCTCTCTGCGTTACGTGTGACCGTGATATTCATTCAGCAAATCCGTTAGCTCGTCGCCATGAGCGTTTTCCGGTAGTTCCGTTCTATGATTTCGCCGTCGCGAAATCTCACGGCGGTGGTGATACCGATGCCGATGCTGTTGATGATGAGAAGTACTTTGATAGTACTAATGAGAATCCTTCTCAACCAGAGGAAGAAGCTGAAGCAGCGTCGTGGATACTTCCGACGCCGAAAGAAGGAACTGATCAGTATAAATCTGCTGATTACTTGTTTAATGATATGGATTCATATTTAGATATAGATCTAATGTCATGTGAGCAAAAACCACATATTCTTCATCATCAACAGCATCAACACAACCATTACAGCTCCGACGGAGTTGTACCAGTACAGAACAACAACGAAACTACTCATTTACCCGGTCCAGTCGTTGATGGATTCCCTACATACGAACTCGATTTCACTGGATCTAAACCTTATATGTACAATTTCACCTCTCAATCGATCAGCCAAAGTGTATGCATCTGCATCTGCATTACTCTATTCAATTTCCTTCAGTTTATGTGAATCGATTACCGATCTCATTTTGATTTTGTTTAACTAACAGGTTTCATCATCATCTCTTGACGTCGGAGTTGTACCAGACCACAGCACAATGACGGATGTATCAAACACTTTTGTGATGAACTCATCTTCCGGTGCTATTGCCGGCGCCGGCGCCGACGTTGTACCGAATGCAGTTTCCGGTTTAGACAGAGAAGCAAGGGTAATGAGGTACAGAGAGAAGAGGAAGAATAGAAAGTTCGAGAAGACGATTCGATATGCTTCTAGAAAAGCTTATGCTGAGACTCGGCCCAGAATCAAAGGGAGATTCGCTAAACGTACTGAAACTGAAATCGATTCACTCATCACCGTCGATGCATCATACGGTGTCGTTCCATCGTTTTAATTATTTTTTATATATATATTTATTATCTCTAATTATTAAAAAAAAAAATTGATATTTTGCTTTTTTCCTCTTTATGTTGTTAGTGAGGAGGATCGTAACTACGTGTATATATATCTAATTTTGTTTCTCTTTTTTTGTATCAAAAAGCTATTAAAAAAATAGAAATTTGTAATGGATAAATTTTGTAGTGAATTATTAAAATTTTCTTATATTTTGTTTAATGATGAAATTTGATTTGATGTTTTTTTGTGAATGGCATAATATACCAAGTTTCAAAATGTTTAATTGCAAAATGAAGTGATACACATAGTTAATATAATATTTCAATAGCAATCTATCATAATGCATGATAAATATAATTAGCTAATTTCATTATTATGAATCCATAATTTACTTCAATTTTTTCCTATCATTTTTTTTTTGGATATTACATAGAGCTTTGTTTGAATCTCAATATTGTGCGGCGATTTTAACATTTAAACTAGACATCTTTTGAAGGTAAAACATCGAAAGCTCTCTAAAAATACATTTCAAAATGGATAGTTAATTCATTTGCGTATAAATCGTAATGGCATCTTTAGATATCGTCATCTTCGTTCTAAATAGGGGCAGAGCTGTCATTCTGCCAGGGGGCTCATTCCAACCCCTTTCGGCGGAAGATTTACTATTCATATATGATTAAAATTATTTTTTATGCGTATATAATAAGTGTCAAACCTCCTTCGATTAGTTCATGTGTTTAGTTTTTCAAAATATTGAAACCCTTCGTTAAAAATTTTAGCTACGCTACTGATTCTATATACATCTAAAACAAATATCACATAAATTTTAAGGTAGTTCACTCACAAATGGGCGAACTGCAATTCTTTTACTAACTCCTCACTCACGTGAATACTCTTCACATGTGCAATACTCTTTGCATTAACAAACATCTGATTCACATCTGATTCAGACGCGAACTGAAAATAGATGAATTTACGTAGAGAGTTTGACATATACCAAAATAGTGATGCATATATCAAAATCTACTTCCTGGTGTTTAAAGTTAACGAAATGATAAATCAAAATCTTTTTTTATGGTCAATGCGCGCTTGATACGCGAACACTAAAGAGAGAACCAAGGCAAATTTGCTTCGATTAGAATTCGCCTTTGAGAATAGAATGAATCGAATTGGCTGAAGCCGGCTTTTAAAAAATATCACTTTTGAATTTCTCACTATTGGTAGCTTAAGTTTAAAAAGTATTCATTTTGATCTCAAAAAGTAGGAAAAAAATGCTTCCCATCTAAATTTTTTTATCTATTATATTTGTAGATAATATCAAATTATGAATGGATTTATTCTATGTCAACATTGAGAGATAAGATCAATGGACTTTTCACAACACTGCTGTCATTTTACTTGGACAAAATTATGAGAAGACTATTATTATTAATAAATAATAATAATAATTATTTATATTAAATAGTAATATTTAATTTTATCTACTTTTTAGTGGACACAAAAGTAAGAACTGACACTCTAGTCAATGTCTAAAATAATGTCAAAAACACATGGCCTATGTTCATGCATTAGTCTCCTTCAATAATAAATAACTAACCCTAAAAGGAGAAAAAAATAGAGTTTAATTAAAACTTTGGTATATTTGTTTGATTAGTTTGGTTCATGAAATAAGATATATAAATTTAATATTAAAATTATTATTATTAAATAAATATTAACTTAATTTATTTTTAATTTTACAAAATGAGATAATTTGAGATAATTTATTTCGCAAACCAAACGAATTTTTATTAAATTTTGCGAGGATCTTATAGTATATCAGAATCTGAAATCTTATTGGTAGATTAGATTTTCTCATATCTTTGACAAAAATGAACTGTCCTCTACTTACCAATAAATAAATAAATAAATTAATTAATTAATAAAAAGAAATTGACACACAAAAAAAAAAGTTGTAATAAGCACTATATGTTAATAATTTTATGCACTTTTTGTTTGGAAATTCATTAATTTTTAAGTAATTTTCTGTTTGGAAGTTCATTATTATATCCCAACCACGTGAATACAAAAATTGGATAATTATTATATATTATATTATATTCACGTTAACTTGACTTTTATATTGGAGCTTCAAAAAGAATGTCAAATACTAAAAGTGAAACTAAAATGAATTTTTTTAATGTAAAATTATATAATTGAGTTTAATTTTAGTTTATTAAGTGATCTTTCAATATAGTTGGTCAAAGTCAAAAGTTATATTAATTACACCTTGTTCTTTTTTTCAAACATTTTAATTAGTATCTAATCCTATAACATGTCCATGTATATCATTAAGGGAAAGAGGACATATATATTATTCCCAAACTATCATAAATGATATGCAGATACTTTTTATTATGTTTTTAGTACATTCTTTCGTAAAAAAAATAAAGTGTATATGTCCTTTACTCTAACGGAAGACTAAATAGGAACACGTGGCACAATCTTATCTATCGATTCGATCTCGGGTCGGTGAATAAGATTATGACACGTGTATGTCCGTTAGTATAAAGGGATATACATTCTAGTTTTTGGACTACAGGGGCACCAATGTCCCTAAAATATAATGAAGGATGTATGTATACCATCTACGATAATTCAGGAGATATATTTATCATTTTTCTTTTATCATTAGTAATTAGTTTCAAACACACAACAAGTTATCAACTTCAATATCCAACTCCAAATTACAATCAGTTTCTTAAAGTAATTAATAAAGCAATCGACAAGTAGCTTTCTGAATTAAGTTATAAATTACCATCAATTTCCTAAACTAATTTACAAGTAGCTTATACGTAGTTTTGCGAGCAGCTTACGACTAGCTATGCAAGCAACTATTACCTCCGTTATTCCTACTCCACAATCTCCATTGTCACACCAAACTAGCAATGTCAATACCTTAAGGGGCTTAGAATCATGTTCATCAATGTCGAAACTCAAACAGTTCCATGCGCAAATTGTTAAGCATGGCCTCTCCCATGACAATGACGCAATGGGTCGAGTTATTAAGTTCTGTGCAATATCTGAATTGGGCGATTTGAGTTATGCCCTCCAAGTGTTTGATAAATTGCCTGAACCAGACCCTTTTATCTACAATACTGTTATTAGGGGTTTATTGAAATCTCAAATGCTGAGAGATTCTTTGCTTTTTTACCTGTGTATGTTAGAAAGTTCAGTTCGGCCTAATAGTTTCACTTTTCCACCTCTTATTAGAGTTTGTTGTATTGACAATGCTGTGGAAGAAGGTAAACAGATTCATGGACATGTGGTGAAGTTTGGGTTCGGATTTGATCGATTTTCGCAGAACAATTTGATTCATATGTATGTGAGTTTTCGATGTTTGGAGGAAGCGAAGAGGGTGTTTGATAATATGTGTGAGAGAGATGATGTTTCATTGACTACATTGATTAGTGGTTATGCTCAATTGGGGTATGTTGATGAAGCTTTTCAAGTGTTTGATTCGATTAGGGAGAAAAGTTGTGTTATTTGGAATGCTATGATATCAGCTTATGTGCAGAGTAACCGGTTTCATGAGGCGTTTGCTTTGTTCGAAAGGATGGGGTGTGAGGGTGTTGTGGTTGATAAGTTTCTTGCTGCGAGTATGTTGTCAGCTTGTACGCGACTTGGAGCGTTGAAGCAAGGTGAGTGGATAGTTGAACATGTCAAGAAGAGTGGGATTGAGTTAGACTCGAAATTGAGTGCTACGATTGTTGATATGTATTGCAAATGTGGCTGCTTAGATAAGGCTGTGGAGTTCTTTCAAGGTTTGTCAAGAAAAGGAATATCGTCGTGGAATTGTATGATTGGAGGGTTGGCGATGCACGGGGAAGGTGAGGCTGCCATTGAGGTTTTGAAGGAAATGGAGAGTGAGAGGGTAGCTCCAGACTATATAACGTTTGTGAATCTACTTAGTGCTTGTGCTCATTCCGGGTTGGTTGAAGAAGGAAAACACTATTTTCGTTACATGAAAGAAACGTATGGCATTGAACCTGGCATGGAGCATTACGGATGTCTGGTTGATTTGCTCGGACGAGCTGGATTACTGGTAGAAGCAAGAAGGGTCGTAAACGATATGCCTATGAGTCCTGATGTAGGTGTATTGGGTGCTTTTGTTGGTGCATGTAGGATTCACAAGAACGTAGAGCTCGGAGAGAAGATAGGGAAGCAAGTGATCGAGTTAGAACCCCAGAACAGTGGTCGATACGTGTTGTTAGCTAACTTGTATGCTAATGCAGGTAGATGGGAAGATGTTGCCAGTATAAGAAAGTTGATGAATGACAGGGGAGTGAAGAAGGTACCTGGCTTCTCCATCGTTGAATTAGAAGGCGTTGTTAACGAGTTCATTGCAGGAGGAAGAACTCATCCTCAAGCCGAAGAGATATATGTAAAAGCAAACGAAATGCTGGAGTGTATAAAATCTGCAGGCTATTCTCCAGATTCTGATGGAATGCAATATGACATCGATGAGGAAGAAACAGAGAATCCATTGAACTATCATAGTGAGAAACTAGCTATTGCTTTCGGGTTATTAAAGAGCAAACCTGGGGATATTCTTCGAATCACAAAGAATTTACGCGTTTGCAAGGACTGTCATCAAGCAAGTAAGTTCATCTCAAAAGTTTATAATCTCGAAATCATCGTTAGAGATAGGAACAGGTTTCATCACTTTAAAGGTGGAGAGTGTTCTTGTAAAGACTACTGGTGAAGACAGAGATGACTGTTATAGAAAAGTCGGACTATATAGATATAATATAACAAATGTTGTTATACACTGGTGAATCAAAATGCAATAAAATGGGGATTACAAGAAAACAGCAGTATATATTATAAAGCTACTGTATGTTAAACATAGAACATCAATAATTTGGGATTTGACTTATGCCCAGATTCACTCTTGAACACTTCATACAAGTTGAGAGAAAGCTTTGACAATGTTCAATTCTAAAGATTTTCCTTACATCATAAACCCAGAAATCTATCTATATTCAATATTTACGTTACGTCCTATGGGTTTTCTTGTCGTTTTATTACCACGAGTTAGAAGTGGTAATTACTTTTTAAGCTGAGGTACCTCGGGAGGAACCCTCTTGGTTACCCAGAAAACGGACAACCACAATGGTGATGTTATCTGCACTGCCTCTTTGATATGCTTCCTGCATCAGCCTCTTAGCTGCATCTTCAGGATCTTGGATCGGCTTAACCATCGAGACAGCCTCCTGTAAATTTATTTGTAATGATGGACTATAAACTACTTGATAGTTAAAGTAAGACTATGGTGATGGATTCGATATCTAACTAAGAAAAAAGGGAAGAATTATTAACCTCATTCGTTACAACGTCCCAGAGTCCATCACTTGCAAGGATGAGAAATTCAAGAGAGCCATCGACCTTTTCCTCCTGTATTTTGAACAACAAATTATGTCCGCGAATACACCAAAATCATTAAGGTATATTAGATGCGGAAAATATAAAGAGCAATAAAGATTCAATTAAAGTGTCTTCCAAAAAGAAACATGCTAGCAGCTGCTATGGAAAAGCTTAAGACATGTCCTAAAATTATTATGAGATGGAAAAATGAAATCAAGCAGGAAGAGTCTGTTGGGCATAAGGCTGAAAAAAATGGGAATGTGATACAATGAGGACTAACTACTAAACGGTTTCCGAAATGTGCCAACATATACATCGAGAAAATAGGTTGAAAAGTACAAATACATTCACACAGAACATTTGATATTCATTTCGAAACATGAATTCCTATGTTGAAACAATTAAACAAGTTGTTCGAGTCACCTGTATTTCTGGATCAGCGACAACGTACTGCTTTAAAAGTCTATCGCCAAAAGCACGAGAAACAGCAAGTACACCTCCAACTCTCCAGGTACCTGCAACACAATATGTTACGTTTAGACTTGCACGAGATTTAGAAAAAAATCAATAGACTAAAAACGGACTGTCAAATGTGATGGGCTTACCTGCCCACATCACAAAACCTCCAGCATCTTCGATGCGCTGTCGCTCATCTGTTTGGTCAGGCTTGTGGTCTCGAGAAACAGCAATAGCTGAGAATGAAATTAGCATCCCCAATCAGGTGACTGAGTTAAATTACAGGGTCATAATGAATTATTAATCAAAGATGTACCGTACTGTAACAGACATTAAAAAAAAAAAGGGGGCAGTCTGGTACACTAAGTTCATGCTATACACGGGGTTCAGAGAAGGGGTGAACCACATTGGGTCTTATGTTAGCAATCTTATATTGCAGAGGCTGGTTTTGGGGGGCTAGAACCCTTGACCTGCTTGTCACACTGCCAAATTATATGTTAACAACAACAAACTGTTCATGGGAGTTGAAGAAGAAAGAGAAGTAACGAACTAGCACCAATTACCAATTTCTTTTAATCTTTGGCAGTGGCTTCTCGATCAACTATCTGACATATTCAAAACAATGGTGAACCAAGACATGAAGTGCAATGCAAAAGAACGTCTTCTTATTGGATTAAGAAATATGTATTATTGGAAGTGCTAGCATGACATCTTCCATATTCCCACAATATTTCAGGATATACCATCAATATGCAAATGCACTTTTATTTTACTCCATTCTCTCTAAAACAAAAAGTAAAGAATCCCCATCTTGTTCTCCTGACTTCAAAGAGCAGTGAAACGTTACATTTACAGTGCAGGTCCTCATAGTGTTAAGACCGAGTAATTAGAAAAGTAAAACTTAATAAGAATAACTTGCAACATATTTAGTACGACAACAACCAAATATCGTGGGATACCAAAATCATAACAAACTTTTGAGGTTGCTCTAACGCAGATATTATATACCAAAATGCATCATACTTTTGGGGTGAAATACTCTGAGAAGGAACCAAAAGCCAAATAAGAATCAAATCGCCTAAGCCTTACCTGTGCCACCCCTGCAAATAACAGCTCTAGAATCGCCCACATTTGCAACAAGTAGACGATCACCCACAAGTATGGCAGTAGAAGCAGTTGATCCAGCATCTTTGTGCTGATTGTTTTCTGATTTCAGAAACTCAGAGTCTGTATGGTTGTATGCATCAGCTGCAGAAACAAATATATGAATGACAAAGATATAGATAAGTTATTTGTGAAAAGGAACATAGCAACGATACTTCACAGTACGTCAACATACCTATGGCAGATTTGGTGTCAGAGATAAATTTTGGATGCCTAATCAGGTTACTGAAAAGGTTGTGTTTCACATATTCTGCAGCCCTAGCACCTCCATGACCTGAAATAAGAGCAAAATGCAGGTAAAAATACCCAATTGGAAAACATTTGACCAACTTGGCATGAATTGGAACTTTCTAATTATTATCTTTAAGCAGCCTCCAAAAAATTAACAAAGATATACACACTGGTATTGCACCAAGGGCGAAAATGAACCAGCAAGGATCTAGACGTTTTAGAGCAACAAAAGATGTAGCAGATGTGGCAGCCGGGAGGAAAAGTTGCATGAGGAATTTGAGAGGGACGGTAGGAAGCTTCCTTCTTAATTTATTGAATTTAGTAAGGTGCAGATGGTGATTGCTAATTGGAAAAGATAGTGTTTTGGGGGAGAAGGTGGTGTATGGGAGAAGGAGATAACGATGGTCATTTTTATTTAAAATTTATTTTGGTTAAGAAAACCATGCGGCGTTGGTCTATTGAAGGATAACTTTATTTCTTTGGTCAAAATATTTTTCCTAACAATTTTTTTTGGGTTAAAAAATTCATGTGACATAGCTAAATTGGTTGTTTCTCCATCTCAACGCGTGTGAACACACGCGCTTACTTTGAGATTATTGAGAAAAACGTGTCTAAATGGCACAATTTGAATAAAGATCTAATGTTCAAATGGAAACAAATTTAATTCAAGTGGTCAAATGGAATTTCCGAATTAGTTTAGGGGTCCGACTGTCTATGTATTTGGCCCAAAAAAATGCTTGTAAAAGACAATGGAAGCAATCCTCAAGCTTCGCCTTCAAAACACAATTAAACAGAAAAAAAATATAAGGATCTATGAAGTAAGAAACAGCATTGATGCAACCACAAAATTTAAGACAAATTTATAGTCATCAGACTGAATGTCTTACTTGCCAAATCTTGAATGACACAGAAATGCTTAAACATAAAAACAAATGAAGATATGTCTTTTCTCATTCACTCTATTTCATGCACTTCATTCCAGTCATGTAGAAGTTACAGAGAAAGAAGAGTTACCATCAAAAACTCCAAAGAGACCAACTACCTCTCCATCAACGCCATCAATTCTTGTCTCATAGAAATCCTCCATGGAGGACCTTTTTCCCGGGGAGCTAGAATATCCATAGCTAAACTTCCCATTTTGACTGCAATGCATAGCACTTGTTAGGCTACAGTTTTGCAACATTGTGCATATTATATAAACCTCCATTGAAACTCAAACAATTACAATGATAGCAATCTGAGAACAACGATATAAGGGATTTCTGGATAAGATGGAATGTGGAAAAGATCAGTCAGAATATAATTTTCAAAATGCCCTGAACAAACACGACTGCATATAACTAGTATTTGTGATATCACCATAAATTAGTTTTATGTGAGCTCAGAAAATTGTCAAAAGTTACTCCAATTATCTCAGGGTAATTTCCATTGTCTTGTTCAGGTTTTAACTAGTATTTGTCATATCCAGTCAGATAATATTGTGAATGGAACTTGAATAATATGGATTTGATAGCAATGTAATATGATCTACATCCCGTTTTTTAAAAGTGAACCTTCATATGGATAATGATATGGATTATACGGTAACCTATTAAAAGCTGAACTTGGTATTACCATTCAGGCATGGTGCACAAGGACACTATGTAAACAGGTAACTACTTTATTAGAGTACCAAATGGATGTACAGTAAATTAGCAGCTTCTTTGAAAATGGTGTTTGTAAGCGGGAAGAAAAGAAATATTAGTAACTAAGACATCATTATATCGACAAACCACAAGGAATTCGAGTAATAGCTCTCATGCATTCTCAAAACTTCTGATGTTTACCTGTCATGCTCCTTGGATTATTTACAAGTGGTATTCAAGCTCTTATTTTTGCAACTTTAGCCGCTGCTTATATAGGTGAATCCATGGAGGGCCATCATTGAAATAGTATTTTTTAGCTTAGCCCACAGCAATGTATAAATGTATATGGTGGGTGGCTTAAGAGAATTACTTAACTTACGGAATAGAATAGGGGAATCTAAATATACAACTATGCTATATACGATCTAGAGTGATAGCAAAAACATTACGATGATATTAAAGAGTAAGGAGAAAAAGAGTATTCTTCAAAGTCAACAACACTTCGGTTGCTACTTAAACATGTACTCCCTTTATCTTCAGGGACATATGGAAAAATAATAATTCTTTGTTGTACACGTGTGTCAGTATAGGAATCGGCACTTGCTTATTTACATGCATCTCCATCACGAACATTCATCAACTAATTCAAGTACGAGCTAACACATGATACAGATCACACATTTAGTTCACAAAAACAACTCATAACCACATTCCAGGAGAAGAAGAAATAACATTAAGCCACCAAGTTCAATCATCTCCTTTTTCGCTAAGTTTACCCATCTACTTCAGTCTCCCTCTTCTTTTAGCTTCCTAAACGACTAAGGAAATCCAAACATCGAATTCAGCAAACGACAATCCAATTTTAGCTCAACGACAAAAGTACCCATTTAAAGGGTTACGACAACTAAAACTAGAAATGCATTCATCACCCAAGAGGAAAATGAATCAAACAAATATCAAACAAACGAGGAAACGACAATTCATAAATAGCTAACCGAAAACAGCCAACAGAACTTTCAACATCCACATAAAATTAAACACAAGTAAATAAGCAATTGGGTGTTCTTTATAGATATCATTGGCATAGCTAGCTAGAACTCTAGTTATGGGGACAGAAGAACCAATATCTTAAGCAAAAAAATGCATTTTTTTTATAACCATGATCCACACGTACCTGTCCCCTCCCACCAACAACACATACCAAGGACATAGCTAGAGTTCTAGTTATGAGTTTCAGAAGAACCAATATCTTTAGCAAAAAAAATGCTTTTTCTTATAACCATGATCCACGGAATACCTCCCACCTCGCACCAACAACACATATCAGGGACATAGCTAGAGTTCTAGTTATGGGTTCAGAAAAACCAATATCTTTAGCAAAAAAGTTGCATCTTTTTATAACCATGATCCACGGAATACCTCCCACCTTCCACCAACAACACGTATCAAGGACATAGCTAGAGTTCTAGTTATGGGTTCAGAAAAACCAATATCTTTAGCAAAAAAGTTGCATCTTTTTATAACCATGATCCACGGTATACCTAACACCTCCCACCACCAACACGTATCAGGAGCATAGCTAGAGTTCTAGTTATGGTTCAGAAAAACCAATATCTTTAGCAAAAAGTTGCATCTTTTTATAACCATGATCCACGGAATACCTACCACCTCCCACCAACAACACGTATCAGGAGCATAGCTAGAGTTCTAGTTATGGGTTCAGAAAAACCAATATCTTTGTATTTTATGTCCACCCCAGCTCACGTCACCTCAACTAATTCAACGAGATACCTGTCACCTCCCACCAACAACAACTATCAAGTACCATATAACCTGCAATTTTTTCTACAATCCATAACACACAAACTCAAAATTCTAAATCCGTCTCCGATTTATACAACCATTCTGCATCTTGCACACATAATTTTGCAATCAAATTAACAAAAAATCATCAAAAATAAATAAATCTGTAAACTAAAAAAGGAATCAAAATCACCTTAATCCACCGCCACTAACAGGCGCATCATCAGCATGAATTTGATTAGAAGAAGATGACAACACCGAATTCAAATAACCCATTACGATCCACCAAAAAATCCAAATTATTCAAATTGCAAATGCTTAATTATCACCAAAATACATTTCAATCAACAAAATTAACAATTAAATCTGCAAAAAAAAACACACACACAAAAATATCAAAATTCTATTCAGATCTAAAACTAAAAATACATAAATCAAACATGAAATTAATATATAATTATAGATAACAACATTTGTTGAAATTTACCTAATTCAAAAGAGGAAGAAAAAAAAAAAGAAATAAGCAAATGAAATTAAAGAAAAAAAAAGAAGAGAAAAATGGACTTGAAAGAAAAAAATATAAGGGTGAGGTTGGGGTTGTTAATTTTATTATTATTATTATTATTGTCTTGGTAATGAATTAGGTAAATGATTGTAATGTGGTTATGTTTTGACTCAAATATTCAATAAAAAAATGAAAATAATTTTTTAATTTAATATCTTAATTTTAGTTTTGGAAAATGGTCAAAGTTTCTCAAAATAGATAACGTATACCCTTTGTTATATTTTGGGATTAAAAAGCCCCTGTTCTTAATTATTTCAAGAGACAAATACCTTTGAGAGTTAACAACGCAAACTTTTAATAACGTGACAATCCACTTGAGATTAATCCCTCCACGTCACTAGAATTTGAATTGTTAACTCTCGAAGGTATTTGTGAACTCTTGAAATAATATGGGGGACACTTTTTTCATCTTTAAATATAACAAAAGGTATATATAATCTATTTTGCAACAGTTTGGAAATAATTTTGACTTTTTTTTCGTTTTAGTTTTTTTTTTTGATATTTGATATCAAGTATTTTTAGTCTATATTTTTTCGTTTTAGTTTTTTTTTTTAAATTTAAGATGTGCACTTCTCATCTTTTTTTCATTGTATTTTTATGAAAATATTAATCATAATTGTGAATTATTTCACTTAATAATTAGGTTAGGGAAGATCTAGTTTAGGCTTAGGTCCATGGAAAACTGCATTATTTATAAATGTTTAAAATTATTTTTTGTGTAAATATAGTTAAATTGAATCACCTTCGAGTAATTTCTGTATTTACTTATTTATATTTTGAACACTTATATGTTATAATGTTAATCTTTATTTTGCCATAGTAATTGACTATGTGCTATGTTAAAATTTGTAGTATTACCCTATACTTGTGATGTTATATCTTTAACATAGTATATTTTTTTAGAATTTGATACACTTGAATCGAAGATTTTTCAGTAATAATATTTTTATCTTTATGCGATAATAGTAAAATCTGTATATACTATATCTTCTTCGAATTTCACTTGGTAGAATTTCGATGTGTATGTTGTGGTGGTGGTGGTGGTGGGGGGTATTGAGGGTGATCAAAGCTAACAATGCAATGACCTAAAAATGAGGTAATGTGTAAGATGGAGAATTAGTCAATAAGACAACAAAATTACTTGTCCAAATGAAACTAAACATTAAATTTACCCAACACTTGGCTTGTTGACAATACATAAAAGTATTGAGGTGTGTATAACTCCAAAATATATTATACTAATCAATAATTTATGTTTTATCACTAATTCAATGATTGATCCTCATCGATTAGTTTTGAATTTTATATTTTCTATGGTAAGTATACATTAAGAATTAGTTTTATGTATGAATGAGATGTACATGATATACTATGATGAATATGTGATCATATAATATTAAAATGAGTAAATTTAATATATCGATTCAAATAACTGTATTTTCAAGTATGTGTGAAAAAATAATTATAGTGTAAACTCATCCAAGTGGAGATTTAAGTTTTTGGTTGTTTAGTACTTTCATTTTTTTTCAAAATGGAAAAAGAATTAAAAATATCCTTGAACTATCAAAAATAGCTTAAATATATTCTTGAAGTATATTTCGGCTCAAATATATCCTTACCGTCAAACTTTAGGGTTAAAATACCCTTCTCATTAATATAATCGGTTAAAGGTCACTTAGATTTCACGTGGATGTCACATGGCATGCCACATAAGCCAATAGAATTTCACTCATGCCACGTAGACTAATAAACTTACCCCTAATTTCCCCTCAATTTTCTCCATTTTCCGTAGAATTTAAAAAATGATTTCACTAAAGAACATAGAACCCTTTTTCCTCGTTTCTCCATTTCTTTAGAACAATTTTCCAAAATACATAAGTTCTAAGGGAAAGGATTTCTATGATGTTCAGTGAATTTGTGTCTAAATTTTAAGGAAATAGAGAAAATTGGGGGAAATTAGGGGTAAGTTTATTTTCTATGCGGCATGAGTGGAACTCTTTTGGCTTATGTGGCATGCCATGTGGTATCCATATGGCAACAAAGTGGCGTTTACAGATCCTGTTAATGAATAAGGGTATTTTTGACTCTTTTTTATTTTCAAAATTATACTTTTTTTATTAATATTTTAAATAGAATATTAATGAGTCATAAAATAACAGGTCATCTTTTAACTTTTAGCAAGTTAGAAGGATAAACATGTCACTTTTAAAACTATAGACACCTTTCTAGCAATTTCTAGAATTATACATACTACAAACCATGGCTCACCGCCTCGAATTGACCAATCGCATAAATTGATTTTATTTTTGAAATTCAAGACGATTGAATAAAATTAGTGACTTAAAATTTAATTTGATAAAAATCTTGTTTTAGAAAAAGATATCGTATATGTTTTGTATTAAGACATCATATAAAGTTATTACAAAATGAAGTAACGCACAAAAATGAATTTAAAATTATATATAACAACAATGTAATAAATTAACTTATTACAAAATATGAATACATAAAATAAGTCGACACTTTTTGAAATTAAAATAATACAATTTATAAAATTCCAAACTCAAACCTTACTTACAAGCCCAAATTATAATAATAGAAACCAACTCACGAATAAAATTCTGCATACGTCACTGTATTGTCACGCACTAATTTATAACCGAACAAGAAGTTCTAACCTCTTCATCCTCTCCAGACTTCACTCCAAGCATAGAAAGTCTCACAAAAGATTGACTCCCAACTCTTGAAAAATCCGTCTTGATCATTTGCGAACTCTATGACTCTTTCCTTTGTTCGTACGTCATTATATTACCACACATTAATTTATAACCGAACAAGAAGTTCTAACCTCTCCATCCTCTCCGGACTTCACTCCGAGCACAGAAAGTCTCACGAAAGATTGACTCCAACTCCTGAAAAATCCGTCTTGATCATTCGCAAACTCAACGACTCTTTTCTTTGTACGTACGTCGTTAAATAAAACAGAATCGGATTGAAAAAGCCCCTTGTGTTGTATTAAATCTTTGAAATATTGATTGTCAAAAAGTTGAGGTGTTTGAGGATCATTTTTTACTGTAATTGTTGAAGTTGCTGCCCCTGCTGGACATTGTTTTGTTAACTCTATTGCATATGCTTTGTCTAATGAAGGGTCAATTAGAGTGAAATTGCCATTTGTGTCCACTCTAAAACGATCACTAAATGCATTGCAATGTGCTGATCCTATTGTGTGTGCACCTACAATTTTTTGGCATACAACAAAAGTATTAGTAACGTCATATACGCAATGTAATCGCACAAGTGAAATTTAGGGAAGGAGTAGTACTGTATGAAGATCTTACGTAGTTACACCCAGTGATGTAAGTCATATATAGTCCAGAATGGTCAATCAAATATTTCTCGTTAAAAAATTATGTTATGTTTATATATATAGACCGATCAAAAACTATTTTTCATAAATATATAATAAACCTACCTTTCTGGAGGTATAGTGAATGTTTTTTTATTGATTCTCGATTTTTTTTAAAAAAAAATCAGAAGAATGCTATAGAAAAACAGTATAATGGTGGAAGTATGGAAGAAAGAAAAGTAGCAACATATTAAATAGCAAAAGATAATTGAAGTATAAGAAACAATAATAAAAAATATTGCTAATTAATTTTCAATATTTCTCACATGCTATATAAATTCTTATGGAAACATGACGAAATAAAATAAAAAAGATTGTAATTTCACGTCTTAAGTGAAATGAAATCGATAGTATATGATTATAAGTTCATTCCATATCGAATCGGGTTAGAATAGGATTACATAAGTTTTTCAAAATGAGAAAGGGGTCATTGAGGCCTATCTAAACAAATATATTATGTGTATATATATGGATCCCTATATCTTTACATTTAAGATTAAGAACACGTGTAACTCGATCTCCTTTTTACATATCTAAACATTATTTTATGGGAAGAGAATCAAATTTATCGCTAAATTGAGTAATTTTATTGTATATTAAACGTTTAAATCTAATATTATAGTTTATATGGAATTGAGTCATAGTTATTATCAAATATGAGAAATAAATGACTTTAAATTCTTGTAACCCTACTTAAATTTTAGTACTATCTACTCATAAAGTTTTTGTGACCCTAATATTAAATACATTATGACTTTGTCTTCTCACCTTAGAAATTATTGGCACCTTTTAGAAATTCGATTTTTAGGATAAAAATTAAAGATCAATGAAAAATAAATTGCTTAATTAAATAATATAATGCATGTACCTGATAGGATAACAAGATCATCTAAAGAAAGTCCCTTTATAGTAAAAATATTAATCATTTGATCCATTGTGAAACTTGTGTCCACTATGTTTGGTCTCACATTTGTTATCAAACTAATTCTTCCATCTTTTCTTCCTGTTGGAATTTGAACATTTGGCCCTCCTGCCTGTTTTTATAATCATCAAAATAACAACAATTAACGTTTCAGTCTCAAACAAATTTACTATCAAAGAATTTTGAACAAACATTTCCATCGAAACATCAAAAACATTTTCAACAAGTCAATCTTGAATAGTAATAAGAATCGATCAAACATATGAAAACATTTAATTTTCTCTAATACAGGAAGTTCTCTATGTTTTCAAACAAAAATACGTATTAAAAAGGTAGTAACGATAAGTACAATAGTTTTTTTTTTCTCAATCTTGATCTAAATTTTTGAAGATTAACTAAATGTATACTAGTCAAAACTCGATGAATAATGAACTTTTTTTATATATCCTTCTCCATTTAAACATCAAATATTTATAAGCGACGAACTAAATAATTTTTTAATCACAAATTAAACATGTCACATAAAATTAACATACATTAATTAAACAAACAAAAACACACTATAAAAAAATAGAAATCAACAATGGATAACTTATATTGCTAAACAATAAAAATTACTTCATCGCTAATCCTTATTAATGACGGTTGAGTAACAAATAAGTTTTAGAAAAACATACAAATTCAACAGCATCTCTAGCCGCCAAAGCAACAATATCAGCACAAGAAACCGTAAAAGGACAAAATATTTCCAAAACCCTTTTGGCATTTTCTATTACTGAAAATCCTCCAAGTGATTTGTTTGCTGGATCACTTCTTTCTGTTCCATTTCCTTCTAATAATATAGATGCATCACAACCCTAAAAAAAAATTTTAAAAATATTATAATCCTCCTCAATATTTTAGCCTCAGGGGATTTTTGATCTAGTAATAAGAGCGCAATGTATGATATCAGATGTGTAAGTTAGATGCAAGTTACGAGTTTTTAATCCTAATCAACACAAAAATATAGTTTGGTACTTAAATGGACAAGGATAGACAGGAGGGCCTATTATTCAGAAAAAAATTAATCAATCTTTCATATGATAAAATATTACGTCATTTGCCTTAATTTATGACATGTTTTTTTTTTCTTTTTATTTTCTTAGAAGTGATTAATGTCACTTATTTATATTGAAAACTACTTAATTGCTTAAATGAGATAATTTATAATAATACAATATTTCTAGATCACAATTAAGTATTTATTTTATTTATAAAACTTCATGCTTGATCAGATGATGTCATGTAAATTAAGATCAGAAGTATTATTTGAGGAAGAATTTAAGAACTTTATTAAATTTATTTGAATTAAACTTTATTCAGTGTTCACATCAAATCGATAAAATTAACTACAGTAGAGTGTAAATTGAAGTGAGAATATACACTACTAGTTACGTAATTGCATGCAAAGTAGTTAATCCAAATTTCTTTTATACAAGCGTAATGCATAAAAATTAAATAGATAATTACTAGAAATATTACCTCAACAAAGCAATCGTGAAAAAGAAGACGAAGCAATTTCCCAGGTATAGTTGGATCCATAGAAGAAGCTGATCTTACTGTATTTTTCACCATTAATTCAGCTGAGGGACAAGATAATCCATAAAAATTAAATGAAAGAGTTGAACATGATGTTTTCGAAAAAAATATTATCGAACACAAGAAAATAAGTAACGAAAATTTATATTTTTTTTTGCGTAAACATAGTGTTTGGATTGAATATATTTGTAGTTTGAGTTTCTCCATATATATTTTTGGTGTTACACAGAGTTATTTTCTTTGTGTTTTCAGTATATTGCCCAGTAAAATGAAGGAATATAATAAAAATTAAAAAGAAGAGGAGGAAAGTACAGGTTGAATATTTATGGGTGCATTTATTTAGTTTGGTTAGGTATAGTAAATGAATTTAATTATTTTCTGACAAGAGTGGAAAACAGATGAATTCTTTTAAATTAATTAATTACTTGTGAACATTTTTTTTATATTTTATTTTTGGTTTTATGAATGTCTTGGATGTTCTATAGTATCATTTGTTCCATACTTTTTTTTTTTTTTTAAAATAGCAATAATAATCTACCCCTTTATAAGAAGCTTGCTAGCCATGTTATGATAAGTTTGTAATATAAATTACCATTATTTTTTTTTATTCCGCAATCGCTATTCTGAACACGAAAAAAAAGATTTTAAGTCTAGTGTAATAGTCGGCTAAATTGCACTAGGTAAGTCACATGTAACAAATTCGATCAAAATTATCTTTTTTTATTCCGCAATCACTATTCTTTGAGCGCGAAAAAGATAGATTTAAGTCTAGTGTAATAATCTGCTAAATTGCACCAGGTAAGTCACGTGTAACAAACTCGATCAAGAGTACATAGAGAATGTTAAACCTAAAACACTCATTTTTGAGATACTATGCTTAATCAAACTCAAGCTAGGTTATATAAAAATAAATTCAATTAATTTCTTTCAGAATGTGTGACAAGTTTTAAAGAAGATACATATCTTATTTGAACTAATTGGTCTTTTCATCACTTTGATATATATTAAAGAATCTTCTTGCTCACGATAACGATAAAAAAATATGAAATTAGCAATAAATTTATTGGCATCTCCGATTAAATTTAGCATTAAAGCTACATTTATTTGGTGTGGTTATGTCGATACACTCTGCCAAGGTGGGGAACAGATGAGTACTTAAATACTTACAAAGTCAATCCACATTGCATCTGACACCTTATTTCTGAGTTCCAGTGAAATTCGAGGCACAAAATATCCCACGTTCACATGAAATTCGAGGAAAATTATATCAATCCTAAAGCATATAGTCTATCCAGACGAAAACATCAATAACTGATCTATCAATGAAACAAATTGCAAGTGTTTTGTTTGGACCATAAAACAATGACCAGAATATGTGAATCTTATAGTAGTTCATTAAAGATAAAAAGATAGATTGAAATTGCCTGCATAGCAGAGTGTTTTAAAGGAGAGAATAATAGTCAAGTTGAGTCCAACATTTAATGATCAAAATTTGGATAAAACAATAGAAACCTAGGAGCTTGAACTAGGGGGTGCACCACCAAAACCTCCGGCTCCACGACCAAATCCAGGTCTTCCACCACCACCCTACAAGTACAAAATTATAATTTAGATAATGTTCATAGTTCAGCTTAGTTTACATTAAATAAGAGAGCATCCACAAGATTGGTGTCCGCTTAACGAATTCTTTTGAATAGAGAACATTTCCACCATTCAATTGCCATGCAAATCACATATTGGTCAAAAGCAAAATAAGAAACGAGGCAGACAACATTATAGCAAAGGTACTTAAAGATCAGCACCCTGAAATGCACTTGCCGGCTTCTGTAAGAAAAGATGGAGGGGGACAAACCAAAATGACATAGGCAATATGGGAAGTTCAGCATTGAAGAGAACTACTACGGTTCAATATCCAGGTGAATCCTTGTGCCGTTGGCAAGTACTAAATGCATCAAACAGGAAACACAAGATATTAACACGAAGATTTTACAATTCAGCAAGTAAAAAGGCACATTGGCACTAGAGTATGGCAAGAATCTTTTACCATTGTATGTTTTTCCCATTTAAATTCCTCTAAAATAAAGGAAAGTGACTTTAGTTAAACAGACAAAAATGAAAGAAATCTTGGTTGATGACCTGAGAGCAACTAAAATCGGCTTTGCTAATGTAATAATACGAAATTTAAACTAAACAAAAAACGATTGCTATATCATTGCCTTCATTCCTCAATACAAAACATGCTCTGAAAATTTGAATCAATAATGTAAAGGATACGAATTGACTTACCCTGAATGCGGGCTGGTAGTCAGCTGGAGCTCCACCCTTCTCGCCTCCAAATTCACCAGGTGGACCTCTTGGACCAGCACGATAACCATCCCTATCACCAAACCTTGGCCTATCACCCTCAAACCTTGGTGGTCCACTGCAAAAATACAAAGGAGATGCATCAAAATCAACTCAATCACTCGAGAAACTTTTATTTCAATGAAGCTACACATATGGTTGTGAAATTTACCGGGGCCTATCGCCTGGAGGTCCACCCATGGGACGACCAAGGGGCTTAGCAGACTTCTTCAATGTGGCAGGGACAATTTCAGAAGGAAGATTGAGGTAAGTCCTGAGGAACTCAATGCCATCATTGGTAAGATACCAGTAGTAGTGCATCCAAGCAAAGGTCTCGCGCACATACTCCTTTGACTTAAAGCTCTGCATCAGCTTAATCACTTGTAGGTTCGGCACATCAATGTTAGGATGTTTCGCCAAGTTGTAGTCCTTCTTAGCAAAGCATACTCCCTCTACAATGCATAAACGTAAATTCGCAATAAATACCAACATCATCTCAAAGATATCCTAAAGCATCCAACACATAAGAAAACAGAAAGAAATAATTACCTTGGAAGAGGTACTTGGAGATCTCTCTCCTGTTTTTCTCTGGGATAATCTGAAATACATTTTGATGAAAAAACACATAAGAATATCCGAGAGAATTAATTAATTTATTTGAATTTCTTTTTACAACAATGGCATCCACGAGTAACATTGGCCCCCAAGCTCCCCTAAAGCTTGAACAGATGTAAAAATATCAATCTTTTTACCACACCCGGGATTTGACCGGTCACAACATTAAATTTCTTTTTTAAAACCATAACCATGGTGTCAATAGGTAACACTGTCCACCAAAGCTTGAACAGATGGGGAAATCAACCTTTTAACACACCCAGCATTTAAATCTGAGGCCTCGCAGCTCAACCCACTATATTGAATTTCCTAATACAATCATGGTGTACAAAGGTAACCAGAAAGCTCAAAAAAACAGGAAAAAAAAAATCTTTTTACCATACCAGGGATTTGAACCTGAGACCTCGCGGTCCAGCCCACTACATTGAATTTCTTTTTACAACCATGCCATCAACGGGCAGTAGTCACTCAAAGCATGAACATTGAGACCTCACAGCTCAACCCAACCCACTATATTGAATTTCTATTTTACAATCATGGAGTCCATAAATATCACTGTCCCCCAAATCTCAAACAGATAGGAAAAAATCAATCTTTTTAACACACCCGGATTAGAACCTGAGCCCTCACAGCTCAACTCACCTCATCAAATTATCTTTCTGGTAATTAGTCATTCAGATTTACAAAAAGAACAGATTTTTACTACTTTAAACACAAACTAGCACTACTATTTCATCACAATTGAGCTATTACTCCACATATTAACACAAAAATCACAAGAATCAATCTAACAAATTCAAAGCAAAACACACATTACTATCCAATTAACTAACCTTTAAAACACCATTAACGAATATAATACGATAAATTTAAGGTATAGTTAGAGATAAACAGAAACATACCATTTGATTTCGTTGAAGAAAAGTGAAGCTGAAGAGTTCTCGGCAAAAAGAGGAAGAGATAGGGAGGAAGAAATTAGGGTTTCGCCAAAGATTTTATTTAAAAGGGGAAAAAAGCCTGTTTGGATTTTTGGGCTCTAATGGGCTTGGACAAGGTTATACCGTCAAATCTCGTTATAATAGTCATTCGTTATAAATATAATCAGCGTACAATTATAAACGATCTAATTTTCATCGTAATCAAATTATGATGACATAATTTGCTTTTCTTGTTAAATAGTTATCCGTTATAACAACAACTCGGTACAATAGCCTGATTTTCTTCAAAATATTTTTTTTAATGTTATATTCTTCAAAAATCAATTCGAATATTATATTTTGCTTCTCTCGTTATAACGACCTAACTTTCATTAAAATTGAATTTTGATGACATATTTTACTTTTTTGTTATTCGTTATAATAACAATTACTATAATAACCTGATTTTATTTGAAATATGTTTTAAATGTTATACTCTTCAAAATCGATTCTGATGTTATACTTTGCTCCTCTCGTTATAATAGTCATTTATTCTTCAAAGTTGATTTTTGATGTTATATTTTATTTCACTATTAACACAAGTGACTTGTTATAGTGATACACTCTTTTTGAATTTTTTTTTATAATAGCCGTGCTTATAATATTTTGTAAGGAATATATTATGTATAAAAATAAAAATATTTAAAAATTTATAATGAAGTCATTAATATCATGTACAAAGTACGAATATAAAAAATAAAAAATGGTATTTTGCCATTTCTATATTCATACTCTTTCTTTTATTTTATTTTTTGTTTGTTTAATTGATTAACAAATACATTTCCTCTTCTTCTTGATACAAAAAAAAAAAAATTACTAAAAATATTTTTAGTGTTATATGTGTTAATTATTGGCTTACATATTTAGATACTTCTAACATACCAAAAATAATAGCAATCCCATGAGCTCTCATGGACAATGGAAAAGAGAACTTAGTTAAATCATGGCAAAACATTATTACAAGTGAACAAACGATCATGTCAACTTGCACACACCTCGACTTTTCATTGAGTACACTTATTATCTCCCAGCAACACATATACCGACTAACTCTTCCTATCAAAGCAATCATCCAGAACTTAGTGTCTAGACCAACTTGCACGCACCTCATCCAGGTAGATAGTTGCACCAACATCTCGCGGACATTCAATTTCCTTAAGAAGCATACGGAACGATCAAGCATAGCAGAGATAATATGAGATTCACTTATTAAGTGTCAAATCAAACAGTGTCACATAAATTGGGACGGAGGGAGCAATATGTATGAAAAGCACATAAACCTGAATCCTATTTTACATGAAAAACATCAATATGAATATAGCTATTATATACATACTTTTTACAATCTT